GGGCCACGTGGGATCCGCGGGACACGTGGGATCCATGGGATCCATTGGATGCATGGGATCCATTGGATGCATGGGATCCATGGGACACGCAGGATCCATTGGATCCATGGGATCCGCGGACGCTCCCACCTGCTGCAGCCCCTCGCGGTCGTAGAAGTAGCTGAGCGTGGACTCGTTGGCGCCGTATTCCATGGATCCCTCCAGGAGCTGGATGTTGGCGAACATGCTCCATGCCCGGCTCGGGAAGAGCTGCTCGATGACGGAGCTGCCCTCCATGAAGAACCAGACCTGCGGGAATGACGGGACGCGGCGCGGGGACGGCGGGATGCGACACCGGAATGTCGGGATACGACACCGGAGTGGCGGGATGCGACACCGGAATGTCGGGATGCCGCTCCGTGCATCCCGGTACCTCCTCGGCCTCGGTGACGCACACGATCTCCCCCCGGTACGACTGGATGAAGTTCTTGATGACGGATCTGCCGGGAAACTCGGACAGGAAGATGTAATTCCGGCTGTCGTGGGGGGAGGGGGGGGCACCCGCCCGCCGGCATTCCCGGCGCCGGGAACGCCGCGGTGCCACCTCTGCAGGATGACGTTGCCCCACGCGTAGAAGATGGTGCTGAAGGGGTTGTAGGACAGGCCGCGCACAACCACCGGCGTCCGGCTGTACTCCTCCAGCCCCACCAGCATCACGAAGGCCTTCTCCATGGCTGCGGGGACAGCGGGTGACACCGGGGGGACGGTGACACCGGGGCCACCCCCTTGGTGCCACCGCTCACTTTTGGGGCGGAACAGGGGGATGTTGTAGGCGATGGTGAATCGGGGGGTGTCTACGGGCGAGGACGCAGCGGGGTGAGCGCGGTGGCCCCGGCGCGGTGTCACCCGGCGTGGTTGTCACCGTGTCCCACCGTGGTGGCACGCCACGACGTGGTACGCGGTGACGTTGTCCTCGGCGCGCTCCAGCAGCAGCAGCGTCTTGTTCTCCTCCGGGATGTAGATGGCCCATTGGATCTTGCAGGACGTGGTGACTGTGGGGACAGCGGGGCTGTTGTCCCCGTGGGACGGCGTCACCCGCCGGTGGCACGCGGGGACCCGCTCACATTCCAGGTATTCGCACACCGTCTTCCCATCCGCGCGGATGGCATCGGAGAAGTGCACGAGCCCGTCTGTTGGAGCAGGGACGTGAGAGGTGACACGGGGCGGGGGCGCGCGGATGGCATCGGAGAAGTGCACGAGCCCGTCTGTTGGAGCAGGGACACGAGAGGTGACACGGGGGGTGACACGGGGACCCCGCCGTCGTCCCCAACGTCCCCAACCTCGCACGGTGCCCAGGAAGAAATCGGCCTCCTGCTGCCCGCGCCCGATGGCCACGACGAACTCGGAGCCGTTGTGCGGGAAGGGCACGGGCACCAACTTGCCCACGCAGATGCGGTTGAGCACGCGGGTCCACAGCGCTGGGGACACGTCGGGGTGACATTGACACCCCGCGGCGGTGTCACCGGCGTCACCGGCGTCCCCCGCTCACCGGAGCCGCGCGTGGCCACGTGCAGCACCGAGTAGTTGCCCGTGAAGTAGTAGACGAGCTGGTTCTGCCGGATGAACAGGGTGCTCTCGGTGGCGATGGCGTCCAGGATGGTGGAGGAGAACTCGCTCCACGGGCACGTCAGGGAGCCGATCCAGCAGCTGTCGATGTCGACCTGCGCCGCGGTGTCACCGTGGGTGTCACCGCCACCGCCGCGTCCCCCGGCGCGTCACCCGGCGTCACCTCCACGGCCAGGAAGTCGTCGAAGCCGGAGTCGGACAGCAGGACCACCTTGTTGTTGGTGAAGCCGCCCAGGAGCAGCACGGGCGCCTTGTCCACCGTGGCCCAGAGCGGCCGCGAGGGGCTCTCCGTCTCCAGGAGCTTCTTGAGCTGCGGGATCTGGATGGGGGACACGGGGACACGGCACCAGCACCGGGACCCCTCGGTACCGTCACCCTCCATACCTCCAGGGGCACTGTCACCCCCTTGGCACTGTCACCCCTTGGCACCATCACCCCTGGCATTGGCACCATTATCCCCCTTGGCACTGTCACCCTTGGGGTCACCAACACCCCCTTGGAACTGTCACCCCCAGGCAGCACCATTGGCACCATTATCCCCCTTGGCGCTGTCACCCTTGGGGCCACCGTCTCCTCCAGGGGCACCGTCACCCCTTGGCACCATCACCCTCAGGGTCACCATTGCCCCGGCACCGTCACCTCCAGGGGCACCGTCACCCCCTTGGCACTGTCACCCCCTTGGCACCATCACCCTCGGGGTCACCGTTGCCCCCTTGGCACTGTCACCCCTTGGCACTGTCACCCTCAGGGCCACCGTCACCCCCTTGGCACCGTCACCCCTTGGCACTGTCACCCTCGGGGTCACCGTCACCTCCAC